GCTTTAGTATTTATTAATAACAATAARTATAAATAARCATGAAYTAAATGAATATTTATTATAAATTTTAATTTTAATTTTTGTTGTTGATGATGTGGAGGCTTTAGATGGAGAGAAAAATGTGTGATTATATATATAGATTAGGCGCAGCCTTAAATAATCTAAAAGAAGTTTCATGACATCGTATTAATTTTCGAAAAGTGAAAGTGACTAACATTGTATTTCTTCAAATAAGCAAACTAAAATGTTTGAACATTCCTTGAAAATAAGTAATCAATTATTGGATTGTGCTAGTTGCATTATATCTTGTAACAAGAATGTGATGTTAGAATGAGAAGAGCCTCCTTCCTCCACAGCTTTGTGAGCTAATTCTCCAAGTTCTTTGGCTCTTCTTTTTCTCTCTTTAGCATCATCACTCTCACCCATTAATTCTTCCACTGCTTTCTTCACTCCTTCTTTATCCACCAACACTCCTATTTTCTCTTCTTCTCCCCATTTCATAGGCTGCTCAACTCCAGCGCTCACGCCGGCTTTTAGCACTTGCACGACCAGTTTCTCGTTACAGAACTGGTCTGCGAATAGCGGCCATGTAAGCAGCGGTAGACCAGAGGTTATCCCTTCAAGAGTTGAGTTCCATCCGCAATGCGTTAAGAACCCTCCAACTGAAGGATGTGAAAGGATAATCATTTGAGGAGACCATCCTCTGATGAGAAGTCCTCTATCTTTGATTCTATCTTCGAATCCGCTCTTGGTGATCCACTCAACTAACTCTTTGTTTTTCTCCCAACTTCTTATGACCCAAATGAAAGGTCTTTTGGATTCCTCTAGGCCTAGACCGAGCTCCTTGAGCTGAGACAGAGGAAGATTGCATATACTTCCAAGGCAAACGTAGAGCACAGAAGCCGGTTCCTTAGAATCAAGCCATTTAAGGCACTCCTCTTTATCAATGTCTGATTTGTTTCCCCTCTCAGCTTTGTCTGCTCCTACCTTATTGCACAAGGAAACTGGTCCAATTGACCATACTTTACCTGACCTTGCCTCCTTGTAGTCTTTGATATAAGCAGGCTCAAGCTCCTCAAACGAGTTGACTATCACACCATAGGATGTCTTATCCGCTTCTCTCAAATCATCCAAGAACTCTTTCCAATCTCCAGGAACATATGTTTCGACAGGAACTTGAGGTTGTGTGAATTCAACTTTATCAGGAAAATAAGGAACGACGAAGTACTCCTTGTCTGACTTCAAATTATCCAAGATCTCACGGTGCTTGCGTAAAACATGCATACACAGAAGACAAAAGCAACACATGCCATGGAAGAGGATCTTTGGTATATCGAACTTCTTGGCGATTCTGGTTGTGTAAGGCAAACACATATCAGAAATTAGACAGCTTGGTCTAGGTCTCATCTCTTCAATGAGCTTCTGGACTGGTTCCTCGAGCTTGTTAACCGCTTTAAAGAAAGGTATCATCAACTCCATTGAATCGAGCAAATCTAGATTCTCTTGTCCTTCTGGCAGACCAGCTTCTTGATGTGGAAACTTGACCTGCACTAAGTTGATGGGCAAGCCAGAGTCGATAGCCCGGCTTAGGACATTCTTGAACCTCGCCGCATTGTGAGGCGTAGTGACAATTGTTATGATGACACCGCGCTGAGCCAAGAGCCTTGCAATATCAACCATGGGAATCATATGGCCTTGAGCCATGAAAGGGAAGAGAACAAAGTGAAGAGGATAAGATTTGTTGGTTGTTTCCGAACCCATGTTGATTCAACGGTAAAAAGAAACTCTCAAGTTTTGTATTGGTTTTGGATTATGTTTGTGAGAAAGCTTATATAGAAACAAGATGCGTGGAGAGCAAAAAAAATGAACAGAAGACGTAAGAGATGACGCAAACAGATTTTTACTTGCCAAACACCTCAATAGCTTGTGATTGCTACAGGACATTCTGGGCCTACTTAGTTTGTCCATTTGTGACCATCTTCCATATTCTATTGACCTTCTTTTGCAGGTAAAGTTTAGAGACATATCTATCTTCATAACAAAAAAAAGAAAGAAAAAGATAATTCAGAGACACAAAGACTACAATTTGGAGACTCGCTGATAGCTACATCTACCGCAAGTCCAAAACTGAATTTGTGTTTGAGACTATAAAGGTCGAGTAAACTCCAATAATAAACAGTACAAGAAAATAAATCCAACTTTGGACTCTTTCAAGAACAGCTATATTTACTAGAAGCCTCAAACATCACAATCAACAAAAAGAGGTCCAGAGCCTACAACACTTTCGTGTGAATGTTTCTTTCTTGTGTTCGGTTATTGAGATGACACACAAGTGGCAATTTCATTACAAGATGAAAACATAATAAACACTTTACAACAAACATATTACGACACACAAACCTGGATAGTTTCACCTTGCACACTGTACCGATGGATATATTTATCGCAAACCTCCACGTTTTTTTGACAGTAACGGGTTGGTATTCACACGGACTGCAGTGCACGTGTTATTTCTTAACTGACTCGGGATCACTGGATTTTCTACCTGATTCGGTCCGATCAAGTCGAGCTCCTCTCCACAATGTTGACTTGGTTGATCTTAGCAGCAATCCAAAGGCTGATGAGCATGCCGCTCTCACAACTGAATCTTGCGACCGGGTCATCTTGCTAACCAGCGTTTCAAACACCTGAACAAGAGACGGGATTGAGAACTTATAAAGGCTTATGGGAATGTCATTTGTAGTTCTCTAATATACCTGTGGGTAATAGAGAGAGATTATATGCTGATCCTCTGAGAGTGATAACATGGTGGTAGCAAAGTGTACCGCATTCGCCTGAATTCCTGGCCATGGTGCATCAAAAGCCTGCATTGCGTGGTACCCGCTTCAGTTTTTTTTATATAGTTTATGAATTTAGCAACTATGATGGTTTCTCGAGGAAAGCCAAACCTGGATGGTTGAGGCCATGTAAGTATCAACTCTTTCCGACTCTTGAACCAAGTACCTTGAGAGATCCCTTACGAAATTTTCATAGTCGGTTCTGAAAAAGTAAACAACATTAGGAAATAAAGGTGGTCATTGTGCACAAAATATTCAATGTGAATCAAACAGGGTAGAATGATTTCTGATGGCGAGACATACCGATCATCTGAACCAAAAGCACGTGAATCAAACAGGGTAGAATGATTTTCGATGTCCATGAGTGGAGCAAACTGCTTGAGGGTTCCCTATCCAAAGAAAAGAGGTATATAGAGTCAAAATTATCTCAAACAAGACAAAAGAGCAAGAGGCTATGATGACAATGGGAGAAAATTACCCGACAAGCTTGCCTTATGCTAGCATCGTCGTCATGGAGGTGTACTACCAAGCGGGGAAGGGTAGAACGTATCTGGTATAAACATTTTCATCAAATAAATAAAAAAATGAAATATCTTCTTTCCTCGTCATCCATATCACTGAGAAGGAGACGAAAAAATGTGTCACCTGCTCAACAAATCCCTCCCGTTGCCCTCCAATTGCATATTTACTTAATGCTCCAAATGCAGCAAATGCATTAGCTCTCATCTTCGGGTCCATGCTAACCTGTTACAAATTAGTGGTAAAGCACTACAATCAGAAAAAATGTACCTAACAGTTTAGTGAACTTAGAGAACTGGTTTTGCTTTAAAAAAAAAAAAAAAGGTGAGTCTGGCCTAATAGCTTTATTTATCTCGCATTTGTTTCAGTAAAAGTCTTTCAAATAAATTAAAGCTGGACTTTACCTGAAGGTTACGAAGCCGAACAGATAAATTCAGCAAGATAGGTTCAACAGCTTCATTAGATGCAGACTCTGTGACCTAAACAAAAGAAAACAAACATATAAAGTTCAAATAAATTGCGTATAGATCCGACAGACAGAGTTCAGAAACCTCGAGTTGTTAATGGGTCTGACCATTACCATCAATAAGCATGACACAGCAGTTAGTTGCACCGACTCATCCAAATCATCGAGCAACGCTAATATTACACCAATAACTTGAGTTGTGTAGTGGGTCATACAAGCAGATGGCATCTGGCAAAACCCCGAAGCAACCAAGTTATGTATTCAGGAATAAGTTAGCAGAAGTCAATTAAATTTCTTCAAACACTTTATTCCAAAGGCTGGTCAGCTATCCTCTAGTAAATATTTCTAGCAACTCTCATATCATCAATCTGCTATAAATATCTGTCTATAAAGTTGTTTTACTCTTTCCACCAACAAAAACACTTGTTTTACTCAGCCGAAGATAACACACCTCCACAATTAATGTTTAACGACTCTATGGATAATAACCATTGATCTGACATCATTATCATTATCATTATTCAACAGGGGCATATACTTTCTGTTCAATCTACTTGAAGATGAAAAAAGGAAAAAATAAGCTGTTCCTTGTAGCTCTTTTTTGCATTAGCCCTTTTAGACAATCAAGATAGATAATTAAAAACTGCTCAGACTAACTCTTACTTGCACTAATCCTCTCAGACAAAGGCACCTTACAGTCGGAGAATCATCTGACACATGTCGGCAGAGTGCTTCGACCATCTCCTCCATTACAGAACTAGAATCACCACTGCAACTCAGAAATATTAGCAGAGGAAACTTAAGAAGATAAGGTACTGAGGAAGTGCTTTGTGTCTTTTCCATGACACATCAGGCATGACACGATGCTATTTTACTTTGACTTATTCCCTTAACTTTTATGTACACATGACCTAGAACTAAACTTTGACCCTAACGTTCTTTTCCAAACAGAGTAAACAAGATGAATGGGTACACACATCTAAATCAATGTGTCACAGATAATACAACTGTGGGGAATAAAATCAAAATGAAAAAATAATAAGTTGTAAGGACATCGTAAACATTATACCTGTAGCGTATAAACTCTGACAATGCAGCAGCAGCAGCTTCCCTTTGGAATCTTTGTGGACGGTTTAGTGCTTTCGTAAGAATCATGCAAATATGCTGAACCTGTAATACCAGTACTGAAACTTAATTTCTACTTCAGTCTGAAGGGAAACAGTAAATTCTGTTTTCTTCATTGATGGATTTCTTTCTATACAACTCTGCTTAAAGATGCGAAATCCACCAAGTCAGTTAGGCTTTCTTTACGAATAGGCYAGGCGTCCCCAATCTCATTCCTTTTCAGACAGAACGAATCCCCCATGTGTACTAAATTACTATGCACATATCTTCACATCCATGACTTTTCCCAAGATAAATAAAAAATGCATGTTGCGACAATGGATTCAACTAATGAACCAATGATCAATACGTGAAACACAACAGTTGCGCTACAAAGACCCTGTCAGCCAATAACTAGGTACCTCCTTTGGTCTCTTAATTGAAATGCATCCAGCAATATCTCCAATAAGATCAACCCACATTTCTTTTTCTCTTTGCTCCCCATTTCGAGCCAAAATCTAAGCAAAGACAGGTGTCAGTTCATTAGACTGGAAAGTAAACAGAACTAATTTAATGACAAAGTCAAAAGGTACCTTGCCCATCTCAAAATCACCAACACACTCACAGAAAGCCTGAAATGATGTTAGAAGTACTCTGCCAAAGAGGGAGAAATGTTACAAAGGCTTTACTAAAATAAGAGTAACAATCTTTACGTGCCTATAGTTCTCTTGAAAATAGAGGAGTTACCGTAAGGGATCTTGCTGGCCAGAGCTTGCAAGTCCATGACAGCTTCCCAATTGAAGAGTAAGTGCTCCAACAACAGAAGAGTAGCTTTTCTCAACAGCTTTCTTTCCAATTTTTCCGCCACCTCTGGTTAATTGAGTATATTAGCCACCAAAAATGCATCAGGTGTGCAAGTAAAGTTTTATAAAAGGTACCTAAAAAAAGCAGTGAGAGCAAAAATCGCAGCTTGAAGAAGATCATCTTCTACATGTGTTTCAGAAGAAGTGCCCGTATTCTCTCCCTTATGTGAATCACTCACTAAAGAAATACGATTGAGAATGGATATCAAGTGTTCCATGAACGAAACTGAAAGCTCCGTATGTCGAGAGAAAACCTGCATCAAAATATGATTAACAATGAGGACTCGTAAAACTATTTTATACCGACCAAATGATACAAAGCGTAGAAAAAAAAATTGTGAGAGAAAGGGAATAGCATCATAGTCAATAAGATCATTTCAACAGAAAGCATAAATCTGAAAAATTTAGAACCACCAATACAAGGGAAAACATGATTCTTCTTTGTGACTAAGAAAATAGTAAGCTGTCTGGGCAATATTAGTCAGGGTGAAATTGTGCCAAACATTAGATTCTTAAAAATGAACCCGCCCTGCAGACAGCCACAGTTCTACGCTGTGTCATGTGTAAAATACTAAAATGTTATTCACCATCCTAATTCCTAAGTGTTGTACACTACAAACTTCAAATCGATCAAGGATGTCCAAAATTTCATTAGACTTTCGTAGAAGATGATATCACCATGAAAGAAAAGAAGATCAATAATATAAGGAATAAAATCCTCTCATATATCATGTTCCAGGGAGAATGGTACTTGCATAAAATGCATCTTGCATTGGCCAGCCACCACGCATCCTAGTTATGTCCTTCGTCACTATGTCCTTCCCAGCAGTAGCCAACACTTCATTAAACACAATCGACGATTGTGTGTTCTCTGCCAGTGCAGAGATCTTCATGTGATTAAGGTAAGCACCAAGCAGTAATACACCAAGAGAATAGGAGATAAATGCTAGTGAGTTTGATATTATAGCAGTA